TTAAACCTTAATAAAAAAATCGATACAGGGCTTTAGAATATCGATACAGTATCGGAAATGAAATATCGCGATATTTCAGTGTATCGATATTTTCTTACACCCCTAGTATATTGAAGTAGGGTCTGTGGAAAGGTTCTAAACAAATCTGGTAGATAAGTTTGTGAACAATCTCATTTTGGAAGTTTCATTAACAAACAGCTGGTCTGAGTTTGCCTGGTGAAAATGACTCAAGTTTCTAAAATATTGCAGATCGTACAAAGACAGTTTAATCATCTTTTACACTGCTGTCAATTTTGCATGGTTGTACATAGATGTTTATAGTTATTTGTTAAGAGCAAATAGCAGCTGCAGCTAGCTGTAGCTTTTCTGCTGTAGTCTGGAGCACTTCTTGCAGGAAGTTCACAGTGTTTTTGCCACAATAACGATGTAATGCAAAACTGATTATAGTGTTATGATTTAAAATGTAGTGTTTGGATAAACAATTGTGTAATTTTGGAGATTAGAGTTTTAAGATGACACAAGTCTGCTTTGGTCTCAGTCGAATAYGGTTAAATGTTTCTCTAAGCTGAGGTCAATCAAAGTTATCTAAAACAGGTAATATATTAAATAGTCCTAAAATTTCCACAAAAAAACTTCTAGAGACACAATAGTGTGATACTTTAGTTGTCAGTCCATCACTTTATTCTCAAACAGCCTCAGATGGATGAGCWGTCAGATTGAAATAATGCCACGTTTTGCTTTTCAGCACAGTAGATGGTCAAACTGCTTCTGTTGTTACTTACAGATATAAATAACCCAAACACTGTTGCTTTGTGTCCCAACAGACCACACGAGAAGTCATCAACCACCGGTAAAAATCCTGGAACCTACAATGTTTTTTTTTTTTTTTTTTTTTTCCGGACCTGGACAACAAATTCCCAGCATCAAGCGTGAACAAGATGCATTGTTTTACATTTGATGCAGAACCGTTTTCTTACTGATGACATGATGCTTTTTTATGTAAACATTTGTAAAGCATTCCCTCTTTGCACTGACAGAAATAAAACATCTGTAACAGTGGTTTTGGTAAACTTTTTGAACTGATTTCTCTTTTGTCAATTTAATCTTTAAATATGAAATTTAAAAATGTTCTGTTTCAGACAAAAAGCTGCTAATAAGAGCAGTTTGACCGTTTGAAGAATGTCTTGTGAAAGGCTGCAGTAAACACAAAAACTGGATCTGAGTTGAAAAGGAAAAATGGTTTATTCATAGTTTTTTCTTTATAGTTAGTTCAAAGAAATGCAAAGCCTTTAATGTGCTTTTATATTTCGTACCTGTGTTCCAATGAGAAGGATATACAGCAATCCATAGTTTTTATGTCAGGATTAAAGTAGTCTTTTAGCCCGAGTTCTGCAAATGTAACCTTTAACGGCTGGTGATAAAATAGATGAAGGTGATCATAAAAGAAGGCTAAATAAGCGTACTGTAGCAGGAGTCTAGATTTTCATGGTTTTGGGGGAATAATTCAGCATCATTCTTGGTGAGAACCTACTGCAAGCTGAGAACATACAGAATTTGTGTAGATTAAAAACATATATTCCAAATACTGTATATATTTAAATTGGTGTTAATTACATATGGTCAACAAAAATAGCATCATTTCCTACAGATTAAAACAAAAACAAACAGTTTTAAAATTAAGTAGTTTTTAATCAGATGTTGCATTAATGGCTAGCCAAAATATGTACATGTATGTACTGCATATTTATGTGCAATTTTATTTAAACAATTAGTTTTTTCTCTTTCTGAAAGGAAATATTTGAAGCCAAAAGTGGACAAAATATAAATCTTTAAGCAAAAGGGATGGTGTTTGGATTTCTTAAGCGATGCAGATCAAGTCTTTGACCTAATTTGTTGTGAATTAAGCTAATTTTAAAGAAATTAGCCAAAAAATAACTTGTTTAACATTACGTTAAAACCCACCCAGTAAGTTTGGTTAATAACGTGTGWGCTAGTAAAATAAATAAATGAATAAATAAATATGAAACTGCACTTAATATATAATAAACTGCTGCAAAGTGCTCATGAATGTAAACAAATTAATTTCAGTGTTACTAAAATCAAATTAAAACCAATTGGAGGCAYCATGCCTCTAATTTATATTTTTATAAATTAGCCAATTTTGTTTTTGCTAAAAAGCTAATTTTGTTTTTGTTAGTCGATGGCCCTCTTTTGTAATGTGACTAACCTGTTTGTCCATGTGGAGGCAGTGCTTATAAGG